AATTACTTACAAATAACAAGGAGTTAAAAGGCCTGTACATTGAAAAGTACAAAATATTGCTGTAAGAAATTGTAAAAACACAAATAAATGTAAAGACATTCTATGTTCATGAGTTGGAAGACTTAGTCTTATTAAAATGTCCATACTAACCAACGTGATCTACAAATTAATGTAATCCCTATCAAAATCACAATATTTTTTTCAGAGATAGGGTAAAAAATCCTAAAATTCATATGAAATCTTAAAGGACTAAGAATAACCAAAACAATCTTGAGAAAGGAAAACAAAGCTGGTAGCCTCACACTTCCTTATTTCAAAGCATATTTTAAAGCTACAGTAATCAAAACAGTATGGCAGAAGTGTAAAGACAGACATATAGACCAATAAAACAGAAAAAAGAGAAAGGACCCAGAAATACATCCTCATATATGTGGTCAAATATTCAACAAAAGTGCCAGGACTACAAAATGGGGAAAGGATGGTTTCTTTAACAAATAGTACTAAGAAAACTGGATATTCACATACAAAAGAATGAAGTTGGACCCTTACCTTACACCATATACAAAAATTAACTCAAAATTGAGTAAATACAAGATCTGAAACTATGAAATTTCTAGAAAACACAGGTGAAAATCTTTATGACACTTAATTTAGCAAGATTTCCAGGATATGACACAAGAACGGGCAACAGAAGCAAAAAATACATAAATGACATAATGTCAAACTTAAAAACGTCTGCAGAGGATAGAAAACAATCAACAGAGGACAAAGGCAACCTACAAAATAGGAGAAAATATTTGCAAACCATGTAACTGATAAGGGGTTATTATCCAAATTACATAAAGAACTTCTACTACTTGATAACAATGAAAAACAAGCAATTCAGTTTAAATATGGGCAAAAGATTTGAATCGACATTTCTCCAAAAAAAGACACAAATGGTCAAAAAACATAAGAAAAGATATTCAATAGCACAAATCATTAGGGAAATGCAAATCAAAACCACAATGAGATATCACTTCACACCTATTAGGATGGCCATTATTTTAAAAAACGGACTATAAGAAGTGTTGGAAACGATGTAGAGAAATTAGAACCCTTGTGCACTGTTGGTGTGAACGTAGAATGGTGCAGTCATTATGGAAAACAGAATGGCAGTTCCTCAATAACTTGACAATAGAATTACCATATGATTCAGTAATCCCATTTCTGGGTATATATCCAAAAGAATTGAAAGCTGAATCTCAAAGAGATATTTATACTCTCGTGTTCACTGGCATTATTCACAATAGCCAAGAAATGGAAGCAACCTAAATGTTTTGCAACAGATGAATGAATAAAGAAAATGCAGTATACAAATACAAAGGGATATTATTCAGCCTTTAAGAGGAAGGAAATTCTGTTATATACTACATTATATACTACAAAATAAGCCAGTCACAAAAAGAGAAATACTGCATGATTCCATTTACCTGTGGTACCTAAAATAGTCAAACTCTTAGAGACAGAAAGTAGAATGTGGGTTGCCAGGGGCTGCAGGGAGAGGGAAAAGGTGACTTGTTTCAATGAATACAGAGTTTCAGTTTTGCAACATAAAAATGATTTTTAAAATCTGTTGTACAACAATGTGCATATAATTATTACTACCACACACTTAAAAATTATTAAGATGGAAGTTTTATATTATGGGGTTTTAACCACAATTTTTTAAATAGATAAAATGAAAATTCTAAAAGTGTAATTGAGAATTAACTAGATGAGCTTAATAGTAAATTAGACACAGCAGAACAGAGGATTAGTAAACTAAATGACAGATTACACTTGACCCTTGAACAATGTGGAGGTTAGGGGTGTCAATCCCTTGTGCAGTTGAAAATTCACATATAGCTTTTGACTCCCCCAAAATGTAACTACTAGTACCCTACTATTGACCAGAAGCCTTACTGACAATATAAACAGCCTATTAATACATTTTTTATGTTTTAAGTATTATATATTGCATTTTTAAAATAAGCTAGAAAAAAGAAATGTTATTAAGAAAACAAAAGAGAAAATATATTTACTATTCATTAAGTAGAAGTATATCATCATTAAGGTCTTCATCCTTATCACCTTCACTTTGAGTAGGCTGAGGAAGAAGAGGGAAAGGAAGAGTTGGTCTTGCTATCTCATGAGTGGCCGAGTTGGTAGAAAATCTGCATTTAAGCGGACTTGTGCAGCTCAAATCCATGTTGTTCAGGGATCAACTGTAGTAGAAAATATCCATTTTGTACCCTATAGAGAGAAGAAAGAAGGAAAATACAGAAAGAAAGCACTGAATATGTTAAAAAAATGTTTTATATACATGTCATCAGAGTAAGGAGAGGAGAATGACATTGGGCAGAAGCAATATATGAAGACATACTGGCCAAAAATTTTCCAAAACTAATGAAAGACATAAACCTACAAAATTCAAGCATGATAAGTTCATTTAAAACTAGACCAAGATACACCATAATCAACCTTTTGAATTTCAGAAAAATATCTGAAAAGTGGCTAGAGTGGGAAAAAGCCCCATTACCTCCAAATGAGTAGTATTTTTTTTACTTTTCTATAGAAATAATAGTAGCCAGAAAACAAGAGAATGATGCCTTCAAAGTACTGACAAATCTAAAATTATGTGCCTATCCCCCTCTCCCCAAAAAATATATCCTTAAAAACAAAGGTGAGACGTTCCCTGGAAAAATGACTAGATAGTTGTTCCAAGGGTCCATCCCCTCACTCCCTACACACAAACATTAAAAAATCAAGCAAGCCGGGCTCGGTGGCTCAGCCTGTAACCCCGCGCCTTTGGGAGGCTGAGGTGAGTGGATTGCCTGAACCCGCGGGTTCAAGACCCGCCTGGGCAGCGAGACCTCATCACTACAATAAATTTAAAAAAATCAGCCGGGTGTGGTAGCGCATGCCTGTAATTCCGGCTACTTGGAAGGCTGAAGCGGAAGGATCACTGGAGCCCAGCAGGCGAGGCTGCAGTGGCCGCTCCCAGTCTGGGCGACCGAGTGAGACTCCAACTCAAAAAAAAAAAAAAATCAAGCAAGAGTGGTCGGATGCAAGTTTGTAAGAACTATAGAAAACAACAGTTTATAGCAACCAAGTGAATGCTGAGTCAAGAAAATACAAGTTAAAATGGTAGAAAGTTTTGTGATTCCACCCCTTTCCTGATTTGGCAGATGTCTGGAAAACACTATTCCACATTCCCAGTGTAGAATCCAGGTCCCTGGTTCTGGAGAGAACAGAACAAATCTTATTTGCAAAGATATGTGTTTTTCTGTTCTATCCTCTTTGGAAAAGTAGGACAGTTAAAAGGGTCAATTCACCAGGCAGATATAACAATTATAAACATATGCATGACACTACAGAGCCCCAAAATATATGAAGCAAAGATTGTCTGAATTAAAGGCTGAAATAGAGTCCTACAAAAGGAGTTGGATACTTCAATACTTTACTCTTACTAAAAGGTTAGAACGTATATAAAGAAGATTAATAAGAAAATAGAAAACTATAACAACACTATAAACCAACTAGGCATAATAGGCACAAATAGAACTCTGTGCCAAACAACAGCAGAGTAAATATTTACCTCAAATGCACATGGAACACTCTCCATGTTAGATCAGCGTTCCCCAACCCTTTTGGTATCAGGGACTGGTTTCATAGAAGATAATTTTTCCATGAACCGGAAGGGGAAGGATGGTTTCAGGATGATTCAGGATGATTTATTGTGTACTTTATTTCTATTATTATTGTATTGTAATATATAAAATAATTATACAACTCATCACAATGCAGAATAAGTGGGAGCCCTGGGCTTGTTTTCCTGCAACTAAATGGTTCCATCTGGGGGTGATGGGAGACAGTGACGGCTGAAGTGTGTTGCTTATGCACAGTCTATATTGTTATCTCATTTTCATTGCTGTTACTGCAGAAAACCTTGCTTCATAAAGATAGGATGTTGGAAACGGAAGCAGGCTTTTCAGTGCGGATCTGGCAGGAGGCAGAGCTCAATTGGTAATGGTACCAATCCATGGCCTGTGGGTTGGGAACTCCTGTGTTAAATCACAAAAAAGTCTCAATAAATTTAAAAAGATTTAAACCATAAAAAGTATCTTCTCTGACCAGAATACAATGAAGCTAGAAATTGATTAACAAAAAGAAAATGGAAAATTCACAAATATATAAAAATTAAACCACACACTCAAACAGGTTTGAGCCACAGTGTCCGGCTTGATTGTCTTTTAATCAAAAACTTAATTGTCTTGACTCTTTTAAATCTTTCTCAGGCATTCAGTTAGAAAGAGCAAATCTGGCCGGGCTCGGTGGCTCAGCCTGTAATCCCAGCACTTTGGGACGCCGAGGAAAGTGGATTGCCTGAGCCCGCAGGTTCAAGACCCGCGCGGGCAACTTGGCGAGACCGCGTCTCTACAATAAATCAAAAATTAGCCGGGCGTGGTAGTGCGCGCCTGTAGCTCCAGCTATTTGG